GCCGGGTCCTGCCTATTCCTCACGATCCTGCCTCATTCCTGCTAGCCCGAAGTCCCTGAAGCTCCTCAAACCACCACACCTTTCTGGCCCCCTGTACCTCCAACTCTGGTGTCCTTCTGGATGGAACCTGCCTCCTTTTTTCGGACTAGTTAGTACCTGCATTTCTCTTTTAAGATTGAGAGCACTTAACAGTTCCAGAAGTATTAAGCAATGCAGTTAGAAAAAAGAAAAAGTAAAAACATTGGAAAATATGACGCAAAGTTAGTGCCTGTATATATATGATTGTATACCTGGAAGACAAGACACAACTTTAAAAATATGTAAAACAACTGCAGAATTCAATAAAAGAGTTGTTAGAAAACTGACATATTAAAAGGCAATACTACATTTATATAACTGGCTATAGACATCATTAGTTATTTGCACTCACGTATAAGCAACACCATGTGTTGCTGTTATGTGCCATCAAGTTGACTATGACTCATAACAACAACCATGAAAAATGGATCTGAACTCTCTCCTCTACTGAGCTAATCTCACCACCTCTGACACACTTGGCTCCATTGCTACAGTCATTGTGTCAATTCATCTCACCAAGGGTCTTTCCTTTCTAGCTGACGTTCCACCTTTCCAATGATGTCCTTCTGTAAAGACTGGCCCCTCCTGACAGTATGCCCAAAGCAGGTGTGTTGTTGTTGTTGTTATGTGCCATCAAGTCACCTGAAACTTAAAGCAATCCTATGTACAATAGCCCTGAAATCTGGTCTATCCTGTGCCTACTTTATTGTTTTGGAAACACCTAACCTTATTACCCCAGTCAGTGAACCAACCTATCTCACCCAGGGTCTTCCTCTCCTGCACTGTCCTTCTACCCTTCCAAGCATGACATCCCTCTTCAAGGACTGGTCTCTCCTCGCAACATGCCCAAAGTATGTCAGACAAAGCCTCCAAGGAGCAGCATGGTTTCACTGTCTCCAGGTTAAACAGACCTGTTGTTCTCCTGTGTTAGTAGGTGTAGACAGTTAAAACCTAAAATGTAAGAAAGTATCTCTTGATCTGAATATAGTTCTTATTGCATCCTTCTTCATATTTCTTACATCAGAGTGTAAGAAGACAAAACATTGTAAGACGAAATGTCTTACATTTGTGAAGGACCTATGTAGAGAAAACGTTAAAATTTTATGTTACTTCCAGACTGTAAGACTCGATGCAATGGCAACTTCCCAAGGGAGCGGATCTTTCTCTGCCTTATCACTGATCAATTCCAAATACTGGACCTTGATAACACCTTTGGTATTCAATAAATATCAATGAATAAATGACTGAAACAATCTAAAAATTCTGTGTACTCCCAATCAACACATAAACAAGATTATTTAGGGTAACCTTATAAAGATAATAATTGAAATTTAAATGAAAAAACACATCTGTGAAAGATCATTTCTTGTCTAATGATTAGCAAAGATTACAAACACCCAGAGTTATTGAGAGCGTGGGCAAGAACACCTAAAATGCTATTTTGGGGTCTGCGAATTAGTATAATGTCTTGAGAAGGCAATTTATGAATTCTATCAACATGCAAAATGTATACTTCCTTTAACTAAGTAATTCCATGGTTGGCTTAACTTTCACACATTTATGTGTAAGTGTATACCAGAAATATCCCTCGCAGAAATGTATGCAATAGAATAAATGTAATCTAAACGTTTATTGATAATAATCTGTGAGATATAAGATACATTCACACAATGAAATACTATACAGTATCGTTCAAAACTAAAGAGAGGATCAATATTAAAGTGGAACTATGAAGGATCTGTTCCACATACAGATTAAAAAGGTATGGAGACAGGACGCATCCCTGATGCACTCCCTTCCTGATTTTGAACCATGCAGTGTTTCCTTGCTCTGTCTGATGACTGCCTCCTGGTCCAAGTTTCTCCTTCGAGGCAAGGATTTTGAAGCTCCATCTCACATAGTTTGGGAATATGGCCAGGAGGGACCAGTCTTTGGACATCATGATTTGAAGGGTGGAGGGACAGCACACAAGAGGAAAACCTCGGATGAGATGGATTGACATGGTAACTGAGGCAATGGGATTAGGTGTGTTGGAGACAGTGAGATAGGCTGAGAATAGGGCAGGGTTCAGAGCTATTGTACACAGGGTTGCTATGAGTCATGGGTGACTGGATGGTACATAACAACAACAATATGTCCATGATGTAATTTTGTTGTTTTTGTTGTTGTTATGTGCCATCAAGTTGCCTGTGATTCATAGCAACCCTGTGTACAACAGCCCTAAACCCTGCTGTATCCTGTGCCAATCTTACTGTCTCTGACACACCTATCCCCATTACCCCAGTCACGGAATCAATCCACCTCATCGAGGGTCTTCCTCTCCTGCTCTGTCCCTCAACCCTCCCAAGAATGATGTCCCCTCTCCAAGCACTGATTCCGCCTTGTATCATATCCAAAGTATGTCAGACAAAGCTTCAGAATCCTTGCCTCCAAGGAGCAGCCTGGCTTCACCCTCTCCAGGATGAACCTGTTCATTTCCTTAGCAGTCCTCGGTATATTCAATACTCTTCTCCAACTCCTCAGCTCAAAGGCATCATCTCTCATTCTCTCATTCCTAGTCACTGTCCAGCTTTCTGATGCACAGTAAGTAATTGCAAAGACAATGGCCTGTATCAGGCACACCTTAGTGTCCAGATTGACATCGTTGCTCTTTAGTACTTTGGAGAGGTCTCTGACAGCAAACTTTCCCAATGCAATTCATCTTTTCATTTCCTGGCTGCTGGTGTCAAGAGTGTTTGACTGTGGAGCCAAGCAAACTGAAGCTGTTAAACAGTCTCAATCTCATAACCATCTATCATGATGCTGCCCATCAGCCCAGTGGTGAGAATCTTCGTTTTATGTTGAGCTTGAATCCATATTGAAGGGTACAGTCCTTAACCTTCTGCATGTAATTTTAAATTAAAAAAAAAAGGAGGGAATTGTTTTGTGTTGAATAAACACGTAGCCAGAAAAACTTAAAAAAAAAAAAAAGCAGGCCACTATATTGATCCCATTAGTGTTTTAAAACTTATGTTTTTATGTGAATTTAAGTATTCTGGAAAGTTATCTTTAGATAACTGATTCAAAGGAGGAGATGAGGAAAAATAAACTTTACCTTGGGCAGAAGAGAATATCACTTGTTTCAACATAAACACATGTTAATACCTCTCCAGGGCCTCCATTCTGGGTGGGAAGTTCTCTGACTATTCCCAAGGGGGAGAGCTGCTGTGCCTCTCCACTCCCTGACACTCTGTATGCCAGGCCTCCTCCCCTCCACTCCCACAACAACTTGTACACCAGGCCTCCTCCTCTCCACTCCCACAGCACCCTGTACGCCAGGCCCAGGCCTCTCCTCTCCCACGGCACCCTGTACGCCAGGCCCACGCCTCTCCTCTCCCACGGCACCCTGTACGCCAGGCCCAGGCCTCTCCTCTCCCACGGCACCCTGTACGCCAGGCCCACGCCTCTCCTCTCCCATGGCACCTTGAACGCCAG